AACAGAACAGAGTGAACAGAACGCAACAGCCTTCAGGCTGTTGCGTTCTCTTCACTTTTTTCATTTCCCTGGCTTAATTATTGTAACATTGAAATGCTTAAGTAGTTAGTTAGATAAGTAAAAATGCAAAATCATCGCCAGAATATTCCCAGACGACAGATCTTTGAACACAGTCGGTGTTCAAAGGTCTACGTCCTAATGTAATGGAATTTGCACCCACTCTCCCGGGAGCTTTCACATTATGCCACTTGATCTTTTGACGTCTTGTAACAGTGCTGCCGTTGTGCCGCGCAGCGTAACAGCGCCCCGGAAAGGCTGAGTCATCCCCCGAGTACCATACCCGCGCCACCGCTCGTTCTTTGGTTTACGCTCGGGCGCCGGTCAAAGTCCCGCCGCTCTGTCCTAGCTCTTCACCGAGGCTCCATTATGAGCGCGCGTCCATCGGCACATGGCAGCTGGGCAAAACCGGATGCCGGGGAATCAGGACGACACGCCGTCTTTGATACTAGTCCGCACAATAAGGCTGTAGGTGAGTGGACCGTCTTATGGGAGCGTTATCAGTGGGGTAGCCACACATCGTGAGCGAACCTTGAAGTTGACAGCTGTTCATGCGTACGTCTCATGACACGTCTCATTCACTAGTATTGAATGAGGCCTTGTAGGTAGGCGTGGAGACAACATTTAACTTCAGTTTAGCCATTTTCTTTTTATAATATTTTACAACCTGTATGCCTATAGCCTATAGGTTTATAAAGATATGCTCTGATTGCTGCATGAAGAGTCATCAGGTCTTTTTTAATGCAAGAGGTCCCATAAAGCTCAGATTCAGTTGGGAAAGCCGCGGACTCCCGGTGGTGAGAGCCCGGGCTCGCGGGACTCGAGTCGCCGAATAGAGGTTTGCCAATGGTGACCCTGTGTGACCTGGCCAGACTCAGAGGGGCCACTGTGACCTGGCCTGACCCATAGTGTCCAGGAGCTGCCTCTGTGAACTGGCCTGACCCGATGTGACCACAGGTGACCCCTTTGGCCTGACCCGATCCCATGTGACCCCATGAGTCGACCCACTAAAGCCCTTGGAATAGCCATGCGGCCCAAAATGTTCCCCTTCCTACACACGTGTCCGCATATATTTCTGATTCTACATATGCAGACGTCCCGGGATAACCCGGCCGGGCCCGGGGGTGACCCCAACCACCGCAGTCCGGATGGGGACAATATTTACCCCCTGTCTAACTCCGTAAATATAAGAGCTACGAAAATTAAAATGGTGCAAAACGAAAGGACCCTACGAGATTATTCTAAAGCACCAAAAGTTTGTGACCTCAGGTCAATTTTCAAGGTCAGAGGTCAAGGTCAAAAGCAAAAAATGATGCAAGTTCAAACGGGTGGGGCACGGCAGCAGAGAATCTGGGGAATCAGTTGATGTGCTTAAACCTCGAAGTCAGGTCAAGATCATACTCAAAACTGACCTCAAACTTTGCATTTTTTCGTATATCAATTGCATACTATTTTCCACAATGTTTTGAAATATTCTGAAGGTTATATAACCTTCCAGGCGGTGGGGGGGGCATTTTTTGCCCCCCCTTTACTTTTTTCGATATATCTCGAGAACCGCTGCGCCGATCGTCACCAAACTTTCAGTACCCTCCCGGGAGCAGCTAGCGCACATGGTGACCAAAAATTTTTCCAAAGGCTATGATAGGTTGGCCGCTAATGACGTAAGAGTGACGTCATTTTTGCCATTTTCGACCCAAAAAAAGGTTTCGCGGGAAGAGCTGTCAGGCCTGCAGCTTTAGAGATACAGAAAAGTGTTTTAGACATAAAAGGTGAGGAATCAAAAGGGCTACAAAACTGTTATTTCGGTTTTCGATTTTTTTGGATTTTGACCCCCAAAAATAAAAAAACAGATTTTTTGAATATAATAGCCAAAAAATCCAAAAAGTTTTTTGAATTTCGAAAAAAACCGGAATATATGTGATAGTCCCTACCACCTTCTATCTACATACCAAATTTGAGATCGATACCTCGTTTTTTGGCCAAGTTATAGCGAAAAAAAAACTGTTCAAAATTGATGACGTCAAATTTTCAAACTCAAATTTTAGCAATTCTAGACCTCGTAGCTTAAAACAAAGACCACCATTAGACTCCCCGTGACGAGCTGCATCGAATCGATACCCATTTTATGCAAAAATATCAACTTTGAAATTTGACCTTTTTTGACCTGACCTTGACCTGACCTCCACCAGAAAGTGACCTTAACCGTACCTGATGGTCTTATAACCAACACCATTGAGTTGGAAATGAAAAACTGGCCATAAAACATGCATCACATAACCTAAGTAAAGTTGGGCTCATGTGGTGACCCTTGGTGACCTTTGGTGACCTGACCTGTGACCTGACCTGGTATGACCAGTGACCTCTAATAGCAACATATGTACTACACAACTGACGCCTTATCGCTGATTTTCGACAAAATGCGTTTTACTCGGTGTTATAGCGTTTTCCCTAGAAGCCCTGTGAACGGTGAAACATTTTATCTTTGACCTGACCTGTGACGTCATCGGTGACCCCGAGGTCAATGAAATTTGGTTTTCCTCGACAAATTTGACAGGGCTATCGAACGCCGTTTGAATTTTCCGGATCCGTCCAGTAGTTTCGGAGATACGGGGGGGGGGCAAAAAGTGCCCCCCCCCCCCACCGCGTGGAAGGTGGCTGGTAGGCCCACCGCCTGCCGGGTTATCGGGCACCTACTTGTGATTCATGCTACAATACAAGGCTGTCTCAAGGTCAAGGTCGGGTATGAGTATCCTTGCTAGAGACTATTTCACTGATTTAAGTCAGCCATAATCAGGGCTGCGGAGTCGGAGTCGGAGTCGGAGTCGGAGTCGGTCGGAGTCGACAGTTGTGACCGGAGTCGGAGTCGGAGTCGGAGTCGATTTTAGAAACCCGAGCCGGAGTCGGAGTCGGAGTCACCGAAAATCTGTCGACTCCGCAGCCCTGCTAGGTCTGCGGAGTCGGAGTCGGGAGTTGGAGTCGGTCGGAGTCGACAATTCTGCCCGGAGTCGGAGTCGGAGTCGGAGCTGGTTTTTGAAAGCCGGAGTCGGAGTCGGAGTCGGAGTCGCCGAAAATCCATCGACTCCGCAGCCCTGGCCATAATACATAATTCAACCATTTTTGCTATCCTGACGCTCTAAAGGGATGCTTAGAGCGAAATCGATGCCAGATTCGTGATCAGTGGCTACGAATTCATTATATACCCAAAACCTTTCATGTGTCAAGATCAACTAAAGGTCATTCGAGGTCACATGAGGTCAACATAAGACTTGACCTTCTCGAAGTAATATATATATCATTCGACGCGTCTTGACAAGGCAAATGCGTTGGTACCACTGTCCTAGCTCTACGGGCATTTTTGTTAAAGTTATTTGCGAAAAAAACTGAAATCCCAGCTCGGGTTGTTGATTTGACCTTTGATCTCACATCACCATTCATTCTTGTATTTTTACCTTAGTCATATGCTACACAACCATGCTAGAAATTTGTCGAAATATCTTAAACTCATTTTTGGCAGCCGTTTAAAGTTCACGTTTGTGACGTAGAAATTGGCCGTGTAAGATTATAGGAAAATTGACCTTGTAACGTCATCAAGGGGACTGGGTCCATAGTTTTTTTTTTTTTTACTCCGGGTGATGTGAAATTGATGGGGGAAAGGGTGCTGAAAGTTAGGAGCTTCTAGCTCTAAGCGCTCAGGAGCTATCGCAAATGCCTACATATTCGTCAGGGGGGGGGGGGGGGGTAAATGATGTCCACCCGGGCCCGCGCGGGATAATGAAACGAACACCGTCGTTCCAATTGGCTGGCGATGCGTTTTTAAAAGTTATACTTTTCGACTAGACTGGGCGGGGACCTCCGTCAATGGCGGGCTGCACCTTTAGCTGAAGCTTTTATCGCGTCTTTGTGCTATGATCTTCGAGTGAATTACTTTACCGTTCATACTGTTTTCTCTTACTAAGAATGCCTACCACGTAGTGAGGCGATTTTTTTTCGCGAAAAATCCGACGGAGATGGCCTGCGGTTGATGGAAAAAGTCGGAATCAGTTACGATCAACTGAATAGGTAATTATGATGGACCCTGTCTTACTTTGAAGGTTAATTTTGTCTAAATTTTCGCTTTAGAAATTATCCAGATTACGTATACCAGAATAAAGTAATCTTGCCATGAATGGCCCGATTTGCTGCTAGTGTCTGCGGAACAAAGTGTGCTTACCTATCATGGGCTCCGGCTCCATGTCATTCCGTGCATTTGTTTTTAGTGTTAAAGCAATGGCTTAAATAAAAAGGAAAAGGGACACACAACTACCGAAGAAGCAACGGGAAGCACGAATCTTTTTCTTCCCTGTTTCTTTGATTATTTCAACAAGAGAACAATTTTGAAGAAACACGAAGACGAAATATGAGCTCAGAGTGTGCATAACAAGCTGAAACTTACATAAAATGTCAGACAGGCCCTAAGTGATCCCGACTGGTGACCCCATGAGCTCTCTGGGACCTATGGTTGGTGCCGTGAGGCCCCGTCGGAGCTCTAGTGTCGTTGGTCGGGAGGGGGGGGGGCAGATTGTGTGGTGTGGTCGGTGGGGGGGGGGGGCGGATTGTGTGGTCTGGTCGGTCGGGAGAGGGGGAGGGGGCGGATTGTGCAGTGTGGTCGGTCGGGAGGGGGCGGATTGTGCAGTGTCGTTGGTCGGGAGGGGGCGGATTGTGTGGTGTGGTCGGTCGGCAAGGGGCGGATTGTGCAGTGTGGTCGGTCGGGAGGGGACTGATTGTGCAGTGTCGTTGGTCGGGAGGGGGCGGATTGTGTGGTATGGTTGGTCGGGAGGGAGGGCCCGGTCGGCGCACTGCCGCACTATATTGTAGTCCGTCGGGAGGCTGCTGCGCGGCCCGCTATCGGCTCCGGCCGCCCGGTCGGGTCGCCGCCGCCGGCCGCAGCTGTGACAGTAGCCCGCCATCGGCTCAGCGGCACCAGTAGCGCACTGACGGCTCAGCGGCTCTGGCGCAGGGCCGACCGCGCTGCGCCGAGATGAGGACCCGTGGGACGTTGCCGGTGCTCGTGGTGTTATGGTGCTCGGCCGCCGCGGTCACCGGGGTCTCGGTGGCCGCCGCAGGGGCCGAGTGGGGTGTCCGGAGTGCCGGCCGAGTGCCGAGTGCCGAGGCGGAGCAGAGTGTCGCGGCGGTGGCCAGCGTGTGGCCGGTGTGTCCCTATAACGCCTCCGTGCCGCTGGAGCAGCTCCTCAAACAGGTGAGCTGTGACCTCAGCCGCTGGAGCAGCTCCTCAAACAGGTGAGCTGTGACCTCAGCCGCTGGAGCAGCTCCTCAAACAGGTGAGCTGTGTGACGTCAGCCGCTGGAGCAGCTCCTCAAACAGGTGAGCTGTGACCTCAGCCGCTGGAGCAGCTCCTCAAACAGGTGAGCTGTGACCTCAGCCGCTGGAGCAGCTCCTCAAACAGGTGAGCTGTGACCTCAGCCGCTGGAGCAGCTCCTCAAACAGGTGAGCTGTGACCTCAGCCGCTGGAGCAGCTCCTCAAACAGGTGAGCTGTGACCTCAGCCGCTGGAGCAGCTCCTCAAACAGGTGAGCTGTGACCTCAGCCGCTGGAGCAGCTCCTCAAACAGGTGAGCTGTGACCTCAGCCGCTGGAGCAGCTCCTCAAACAGGTGAGCTGTGACCTCAGCCGCTGGAGCAGCTCCTCAAACAGGTGAGCTGTGACCTCAGCCGCTGGAGCAGCTCCTCAAACAGGTGAGCTGTGACCTCAGCCGCTGGAGCAGCTCCTCAAACAGGTGAGCTGTGACCTCAGCCGCTGGAGCAGCTCCTCAAACAGGTGAGCTGTGACCTCAGCCGCTGGAGCAGCTCCTCAAACAGGTGAGCTGTGACCTCAGCCGCTGGAGCAGCTCCTCAAACAGGTGAGCTGTGACCTCAGCCGCTGGAGCAGCTCCTCAAACAGGTGAGCTGTGACCTCAGCCGCTGGAGCAGCTCCTCAAACAGGTGAGCTGTGACCTCAGCCGCTGGAGCAGCTCCTCAAACAGGTGAGCTGTGACCTCAGCCGCTGGAGCAGCTCCTCAAACAGGTGAGCTGTGACCTCAGCCGCTGGAGCAGCTCCTCAAACAGGTGAGCTGTGACCTCAGCCGCTGGAGCAGCTCCTCAAACAGGTGAGCTGTGACCTCAGCCGCTGGAGCAGCTCCTCAAACAGGTGAGCTGTGACCTCAGCCGTTGGAGCAGCTCCTCAAACAGGTGAGCTGTGACCTCAGCCGCTGGAGCAGCTCCTCAAACAGGTGAGCTGTGACCTCAGCCGCTGGAGCAGCTCCTCAAACAGGTGAGCTGTGACCTCAGCCGCTGGAGCAGCTCCTCAAACAGGTGAGCTGTGACCTCAGCCGCTGGAGAAGCTCCTCAAACAGGTGAGCTGTGACCTCAGCCGCTGGAGCAGCTCCTCAAACAGGTGAGCTGTGACCTCAGCCGCTGGAGCAGCTCCTCAAACAGGTGAGCTGTGACCTCAGCCGGTGAGATGTGTGACGTCAGCTGGGTGAGATGTGTGACGTCAGCCGGTGAGATGTGTGACGTCAGCCGGGTGAGGTGACGTCAGTCGGAGAATCGCTGCTATCACTGAAATGGACGGTTTCAGCCATGCAAGCATTTCATAGTTGAGGATGAGGCTAAATAACGTCATGAAGAGATGATTTGCATTTTTTTTTTCGGCAATACTTTTGAGTGGTAGGTACAATATACTCGTGTCGTGTAATGATATTGCCAATTTAGGTACTTGATGGTGAGGCACTGACTGACATGACCTCAAATGACCTTCATGAAAAATTCGAGACGGGTTTCCGAGTTGTTAGGACTCGGTAGTTGATATCTTATCTAGGTTGCATCCCCTGCAAAAAAAGATGCTGCGTTGACTGGCACTGAGAGCATTGCGACGCTGTGACATTTTAGACAGTATAGACGTTTAATTATGACTTCATAGGCCAGTGACATGACTCTAACCATCACCAGACCTATTGGCTTTCTACATACATACCGAGGGGGGTTGGTACGACCCCCCTCGTCGTTTCGCCCCTTATAGAGCTATAAGCCTCGCGGAAAAGACTGAGCTTGCGCCGTTACGAGACGCAGCGATTGGTACCCAATTTCGCAGGCCAAATGGTGACCTCTGGGGTCAGATCAAGTGCCCAAGTCGCTGGTTTGGTTTTGGTACATTACTTCGCAAAAATGGCCACAGAGCTGCGATTTTGGCGTCATCGTGCTCGCCTAGCTAAGGCGCGTCGAATAGTATATTTTTGTTTGAGTTAGGTTAACAAAATTAAGGTATTGACTTCGAGTCGAAGTCAGGTCAGAGCCCCTCAGGTCACGAAGTTGTTCGAAGGAGGTCATATTGCATATCATTCGATTCGCGGCTGGTCTTCCCGAGAGTCCATTGGTGCCTTTCCCAACTTTCTGGCTCAATTTGATCGGGAGTTATTGACAAAAAAAACTTCGAGGACCCTAGTGACGTCATTTTTGACGTCACGCAAGGTCAACAATGTAACAATGAAGCACCAGACCTAGCAAGGTGTGCATGAAATCACGATTCCATCTGCTTGAGATAGTTAAACCCTCGCATGTGTAGGGGGGAGGGAGTCGGATGGACCCCCATGGTTTTTCGCAAATAACTCGCGCAAAAAGCGGCCGATCACAACGACACTTTCAGTAGGGTAGTGTGGGGTAATTTGAACATATTTTTACGTCTTCTCCGTTGTACCAAATTCCAACTCAACCCTGGATGAAGAAAAACTTTCAGTAGCACATGTGTCACTTGCTTTCACCATGCAAACCTCATTTTTGGACGAGCCGAGCATACCTTGAATAGCATAGCATCACTTCTCCACCAAGTCACGGTGTGTTCAAATTGCCCCACCGTGGGGTAATTTGAACATACTGCCTTTACCTGCCATAAAAACGATAGTCTCGCCAGCACCGATGTTGTTTGACCCATAAACGAATAGGCAGAGCAATTCTAAACATACCATCATTTGAAAAATCAACACAACAACAAAAATAAGAGTTGCAGAGTATCAATATCTGCACGCTGCACACCGGTCAGTTGACAGAATTCGCCTCTCTTCAATTAACAGAACGTCTATCATCTCCGTTCGATAAAAACTCTACCAAACCTTACTTCATCTGTTATAGTGGTGCCAATCGGAACCTGGACATTCGGAGTTCCGATTCTTTACAATGTCCAATTCGGAATTGATTGCACAAAGGTATAGTAGTCTGGACAACGTTGGACGATGGCCTGCCACACTTAAGCATTTTTATCAAGTAATCGTGCGTAGCATTGATTGGCGAATGGAAAGCTTGTTAAGCTCTCAATATAATGAACACTTTTCGGCTGTTAAAATTACATGATAAGCAATATAAATGACGGTTTTGAGTGTTGATAGCTGCATAATTTTCGGACATATTTGGACAAATAGTTGACTTTAACATTTTTGGACGGAAAATCAACGAAAATGCCGGATATTAGACGGATATTAGACGTATTTTTTTTTTTTTTAAACTGGCACCACTTATCTGCTACTGCTTTAGGTCGAAAATATTGGCAAAAAAAAAACTGGGAGCGTTGTTTTTTTCGGAGCTATCCCTGTCTTCATTGAAATTCTCACACTATGTTCAAATTACCCCACGCTAAAAGTTATTTTGCCATTTTTAAAAACAGGGTTCAAAAGCAAATTTCTTGGATTTAAGGCACTGACTAGGTCATTGTACAACAAAATCCGTTGCGTATTAGGCGCTAGCAATGCAAAATTTTGCGCTGCAATGAAGTTGCAATGACGTGTTGTTAGGCGTTTATCCTTGCGAAATTGATTTTTTACACTGTGCGTCAACATCTTCATTCCCTGAAACTTTAAACCTCGTTCATATGATAGCCCTTTTAGTTACGATAATTTCTCTCCTTGGTCTTATTGTCATCCCACTTATGGATTTTCCGTAATTTTGTGTTATTCACACTATGTTCAAATTGCCCCACATGTTCAAATTACCCCACCCTACCCTACCCTCGAGTTGATCAATTTTACACCTACTCTGAAAATTTCAGGACCCTGACCCAAGTGACCTTTGACCTGTGACCTCTTTTCCGAGACAATGTTTGGCCGGAATCGCGATTCGGCGTACATGACCTGACCTGGAAGGTCAGCCAATGACCTAGGACCTTAAAAATGAGTATCATCGGCCTTCTCTCGTCACGGGCAGCACGCTCGCTTTTTCCGCGAAGCTCTAGCTCTAGCTCCATCAGGGACCAAACGGCAAGGGGGGGGGCAAAACAATAGACCCCCCATTACGCTCGCGGCTGGCAAAACACCAATACGAGCGAAGGATTAACTCTTGCGGACCGGGGGAGGCGTTTTTCGCCCCTCTGGCGAATATTTGCGATAGCTCCCGAACGCTTAGGGATAGGAAAGCGAAACTTTCAGTACCTTTTCTCCCATCAATTTGACATCTTCTGAAGTAAAAAATTTGAACCTGGCCCCTTGATGACGTCACAGGGTCGATTTTTTCTAGACCCTTGCACGGCAAACTTCGGCGTCACAGACGCGAACTTCAAATAACTGCTAAAAATAGAGTTTTAGAGATAAAGACAAATTATGAGCACGGTCGGTTGTGTAGCATTTGACCTAGACAAAAATGGAAAAATATTTTTGGTGACCTGAGGTCAGGGGTCAGGTCAAAGACCCTGAAATGTGGTTTTAGTTTTTCGCAAATAACTTCGACAAAAATGGCCCTAGAGCTACGGCAGTGGTACCATCGCATTTGCCTTATCAAGCCGCGTCGAATGATATATATATATATATATATATATATATATATATATATATATATATATATATATATATATATATATATATATATATATATATATATAGAGAACAGACTCGTTTGTGACGTTTCGATATATGTATATGCTTATATCTTCGTCAGAATAATAAATCGGCGTATCGTTCACACTTTTCGACAATAATGGCACACAAACACGATAAAGATGGGTACAAAAACACTAAAAACACGTAGCAAAATAATCACATCTAATTTCACTTTGTCCTTTCATTTGCAGGATCCAATATTTCTATGTGCCTCCAGCAACTGGATCCATACTATAATTCGACAGAATAAAGAGCAGACGGCGAAAGCAATGCAGAATACCCATTAACTGGGCTTGACGTTTGTACACAACTAATAATTTGCAACACCTGAAGTGGAAGAGATGCA